AGAGAGAGAGAGAGAGAGAGAGAGAGAGAGAGAGAGAGAGAGAGAGAAAAAATAAAGGGGTTACATATTTCTAGAATTGGTGATGTTCTTCAGTGTAAAGTCATTTTGAAACTAAAGAAGGCCAAAATGCCTCCTAATTTTATGGAAGCAAGGAAAAAATATAGCATATCAGACTCTCTTGAGGAATATGTGTGTGTGTGTGTGTGTGTGTTTAAAAATATTTCATAGCACACTCATTCACTGCTATGCTGTCCTTCTATTTTCCATAATACTAAAAGACTTTTGTTCTGAACAACCATTCCTACATATAAGTTACAGCGGGAAACAACAACAACGGTAGCCACAACAGAACAACAAGTTAAAACCTGGAAGCTGTGCTTAAAATGCAGACATTGGTTATCTTAACTAAAGGAACTCTGATATTTATTAATATTTAGTGGTAGAAATAATTGTTTTACTTAGACCAGAAGAGCATTTTTTATGACTTATTTATTTGAGGGTTTATATGGTTTATATGTCTGTGCAGGGGTGTGTGCATGTCTGTGCACCTGTGTATGGAGGACAGAGGCCAGCATCCAGTGTCTTCCACAATCACTCTTTACCTTATTTTTGAGACACAGTCTCTGATTGAACCTGGAGCTTACTGAATTGGTCAGACATAGATGTTGGCAATCTATGCATGCTTATGAGACGATGCTTTACTGACTGAGTCCTCTCCACAGACCCACATTATGTTTTTATAAAATAACAAGCTAACTGGAGATGGAGCTGAATTGAGAAATGCTTTCTTGGCATGCCAAGGCTCTGGTTCTGTTCCTATCCCTGTATGGGAGATAGGATGGGGAGAGATGGCAACTTCTATCTTAGGCACACACCTAAATCTGAAGCACTTGAGAGGTAGAGGCAGGGCAATCAGAAAGTCAAGGACAGTATTGACCACTCAAGGAATCTGAGGCCAGGAGGAGCTATCCAATCTTCAGCTTAAAAACAAACAAGCAAATAAATAAGCCAGTGACTATGTAGTCAGCTCTGCATAGTCTGCATATAACCGTGCTGGGAAACAACACAAACAGAAGAAAATTCACACACTATTTACTTTAGAACTATGTCTTTAATTTAAAGAAGAATTACCACTTTTCATTCTTTCTTGGTAAGTGGAAAGGAGACTGCCCTCAGTACAAGTGAGACATGCCTACAAGTCTGACACTTGACTGGGAGGTAAAAACCCCACGCAAAAGCCAGTTTTCTGGCATAAATTAATAAATGCAGAAACAAAGTCATGCAGATCTAAATTTTAATTATGTTGTAAAACATTTCCTAGGGGTACAAACATTAATGGGTTTTAGACAAGAAATGGGAAGTACTCTCACCAGCGAGTTCTAAGGTAGGCTGTAACTTTATCTGTGAAGACTGATTTCCTCTCTAGAGGCTAAGTTCCTTTCTGACATCCTTTACACTCATGGCACTGTGCAGGGACTGGAGGCAGTGATCTTTCTCCCAAATTCCTGACACAGTAAAGACAGAACTTCATTGAGTGTCCTGCCTTAAACACAGGGAGAGGATTTCAGAGAAGATAAAACAAAATTCTGAGAACAGAATTGCTGCTCTCTCTTGCTTCCTGCTGCTGTCCTAAACCATCATGGCCGAGAGCAACTTGGAAAGGAGAAGGCTTGTTTCACCACGCAGCTTGTAGTCTACCATAAAGGGAATTCAGGGCAAGGACTCAAGGCAGGAACTCAAGCAGAGTTCACAGAGGAGTGCTGCTTACTGGCTTACTTTTCATGCTCAGGCTGCATTCTTATATAAGCTAGAACCAACCCACCCACCCCTGTAGGTACTAGCCAATATTTGTCTGGGCCACCTCAAACATTAAGGGAGAAAATGTCCCACAGTTTGATGTGGGATTCTCCTTTGTAGGCTGTGAATATGTTTGGCTCATTAATAAAGAAAACTGGCTTGGCCTGATAGGGTAGAACAGAGCTAGACGGGGAATACTAAACTGAATGCTGGGAGGAAGAAGGCAGAGTCAGGGAAAAGCCATGTAGCACAGCTGGAGCCAGATGGAACTTTATCCGGTAGGCCACAGCCACATGGTGTTACACAGATTACTAGAAATGGGTTAAATTAAAGTGTAAGAGCTAGCCAATAAGAAGTTAGAGCTAATAGGCCAAGCAGTGTTTTAAATAATATAATTTCAATGTGTTTATTTTGGGGCTGAGCAACTGGGAACCAACAAGTGACCTTACTACAACAGTTTTGCCTACAGTCTGATGTAGATATTTCCTCAGTTGAACTTTCCTCTTCCCAGATGACCCCGATCTGTGTCAAGTTGACAAAGCAAAACAAAAATAACTGCGCAGTGACATAACCATGAATCTTTTTAAAAACTCAAGTTATATATAACTAAGAGTTACAACAACAATCATTTTTTAAACTAAGGCAGAATAATTTTTAAAATAAACAGATAAGACAAATAGAAACAGACACCTGGCAAGCCAGAGGGAAAAACCAAAAGACTAAAGTCCAAGCCGTCCTAGTATGAGGTATTACAGGGCCTTCCCATTGGCACAGCCTGGGCATGGGGGAAGACTGGGGATGGTGGAGTTGATAGAAGGGGGAGCTGGGGATGATGCCTTGAGGCCTTGTTATTTGTGGCTTATATAGAAGCCTCCAGATGTCAAATGCTCATGCGTCAAGAAGAAAACTAACAGTTACCTGGAAATCTTCTGATCATCTGACACAAGCCTTCTTTTCTGCAGAGCTGAGGCTGTATTTCTGGTAATACATTTATCTGAAAAGAACAAAAAAGATTCTAGTGAGTGAAGGGTTCACAAAAGATGAGGCCAAGGAGAGAGAAAGAGAGGGAAAGACAGATACAAAGATGCACAGAGAGACACACAGAGACAGAAAGACGGAGAGAGAGAGAGACAGAGAGACAGAGAGAGAGAGACAGAGAGAGAGAGCCCAAGAGAGCAGGCTGTAGCTATCGGTCATCTTCTTCTTCCACATTCAGCCACAAAAATCTGCAAGTGAGCACTTGAATCAGGAATGGCAAAGTTGCTGATCTGATTACATAAAATAGAAATTTGCCCTCAGAAATCTTCAGAATATTTAGGAATAACTTGGGAAACTTTTTTATTTAAAGCTATCATGCCTGCTATAAATAAAAATACATACTTATGTCAAAGATAGTAACATAGATTCATAGTTGTACATGGCAAAAATATCACTAAGGGATGAGAAAGCCAAGTAACTAAAGTTCCAGAGGCCACAGTGACTTGTACACTCGTATCTTCAGCGCCAAGACTCACACACAGTCTTTACTTCATAGTGAAGGACATTGTTACTGCATCCATTTAAAGAACAGAAACCATTTTATATAACAAGTTTAATTCTCTCCTCTTGTGGTTTTACAGTTTGATCAACCAGTTACATGAACTACATTCTCCCAAACTAAAACCAAATATGGTAAAACCTTATTAGAGAAAGAGAGAGAGAGAGAGAGAGAGAGAGAGAGAGAGAGAGAGAGAGAGAGAGAGAGAGGTGGGGGTGGGGCGATCTGTTTAAATTAGCTTGGAGATCAGATTTATTCTTGAGGCATTATTGATTACTTTGAAATTAATTCACCCTCTCCCAGCAAAGTATTATAGCTTCTTCAACACTTCCTGCTGGCATGACTAGATAAAACTCAACTGTGTAGAACAAGACAGGGAAGGAATGCTAATTCTGCACTTAACAGAATCCTAACTTTGAGCAGGATTTGCTTGTTTGTTCTCAATCTCTTCACTTGTACAATAAAAAATGTAGAGTCTTGAATATTTAAGCTCCACTTTGATTGATTCTATAATAAGATGTAGCTTTTTCACTAATGATTCGTTTAGAGTGCTTTGACCCAGGCTGATAAAAACTTCCCTGACACATGGAATTCTATTAACTTTTTCATTTATTGAGAAGACACTCTGTAGCCCAAGAAGAACAAGCCCAAGCCCCAGTCCAGGTCCCGCAAGCAGAACAACTCTGGGCCTAGGCATGGACAGCATTCCTAAACACTGCATTCTGTGCGTCTCCCCCACTCACATGTGTTTGCTCTAGAATTCTAGGAAAGCTGTCGATGTGGGTGGGGCACTTAGACTTTTAGGGTT